TCAACTGTTCGGTTACCCACATTCTTTAAATTCTTTTGTATTCAGCAGAATAAAGAAATTCATATGAGTTTGGAACAACTGAGTTTGAGTAAATTATGATTTTTTTTTCATTACTTTTAAATTGTTAAAGGTGCAAGGATCTTGCAGAAGAAAACTTCATGAAGAACAAAACAGAAAAAGTGTTAATGCCATGACTGGGCAAATCTGTCAGTGCTGTAAACTGTGGTACTCAGCGCATGGTCTGCTGCGTCTTTTGGGAGCTTAGCTTAGCTGAAATATCACCATCATCTTTTCGAGTTTTTTTTTTTTTTTGTCTGTTCCTGTACAGCTCACTGCGTCAAACTATATTATGCTAGTGGATTTTAGATATGATAGATCTTGCAAATGTAAAACAGTTTTGTCTGCTCATTTATCATGAACCCAAGCAGCACCAAAGCACAAGGAATAAGCAATCCTTTAGATCATGTCTTTAAATGAGGAAAAAGCTCCATCACTTTCCATTTTGGTTCCACTTTTCACACTGAAAATTACCTGTAAAAGAATATCTCACCCCGGTGAGCTAGGTTTGACATTTGGTATTGACCTTAAGGTAGAAGCCATATATTAATTCAATTGGAATAAAAATTAGACCGTAAGGGATAGACGTGTCCGTACTGAACACAGGCTTTATCCAGAATTCAGCTTTTTTTTTTTTTACAGAAAAAAAGTAACATAAATTACAGAAAGATAATAAAATAATAAATTAAAATATTTTTACTAGATTTCTACTACAAATTTCCATTACATATATTGCATTACATGTAAAGTACATATAAAGTTAAATTACATATAAAGTACCATTACATATATTACACAATCCTGACAGAGCCCGCCTGCACTTTTACACAGTTCACCAGCTTTTGGCCTTTTTCAGACAGCTCACTTCTTCAGCCCTGGGGTGCAGTTAGCTAGAGGTGTAGGATGGACAGATGGTTTCACTCGTCCTTACAGGCTTTAGGGACCTCTCACCTTGTCCAGCTCAACTCACAGGAATGTAGCTAGAGGAGAGACAGCTGTGTTCTAGCTGCAGTGCGACTTTTACAACCAGCATCCTCTTTGACTCAGCGCTAAAACGGATAAAGGTATTCAATTCTTATGGTTTTAAGAGTAAACTGAGAGACACAACTTTGATAGGGGATAAAAGGAGCTGTGTGTGAAACCTTGTGTGTTTCTTTGCTGCCTGTCAATTTAAATTTGGATTATCAGAAGCAGGGTCAGAAATTAACAGGGTTTAGGGCAAAATGCCCCCAAAATTCAATATATAGGGGCAAAAAAATCTTTATAATATATTATTTTGTTAAACAATATCACTTAAGCAACAGTACTGTATTCTCCGAATATCAACACGATTGTAAATGTGATATTGATTTTAAACTACTAAATTTATTTCTTACATTTTAGACACAAAATTATCTTGTTTTGCTCTATTTCACAATGATAATAGTTCCAAACAAAGCCAGAGCAGAGCCGTTATGACAGACAAAAACACAGAGCAGTGTTTCATTAATGACTGAATCTGTATTAATGCGTTAATGAATCAATTACCAATTCATAAAGACACTCGCTTGTTTCATTCCTGAATGAATCAGCCATTTTGAACAAATCGGTTGAATTAAGGATTCACTGAAAAAGACTGACTTGCTGTCATCTACTGGTGGATTAATTTCATATTTAAAATATAATTTTGTTTTTTTAATCATCCCATATTTCCATATTAAGCATTTTTTCAAAGTATTGATCTCATAACATTATGCAATTGTTATTGCACTGTAAATGCATTCATGCCACCTCTGAGCTGCATTAAGCAGTCTGTGAAAATCTACCTTAAGGTCACTTCAAATGCTACCACATCTGCAGTGTAGAGATGACTTTTGTTGATATTGATTTATTTTGATTGGTAACAGCCCTATTCTGTCTTATTAATATAATCTGATTACATTTTTCAAACTAATTTATTAATTTAAATTTAAGAATTTGACATTAGACACATACATTTAATAAGTTTAGCAGAATTGCTCTTACAAAGGTAAAAAAAAAAAAAAAAGGAAATAAAAGTCAAAGAACCTGTTTTGTAAGTAGATCGTTTTTTGTTTTGTTTTTTTCCAACAAAAAATGTGTAATCAAATAATACAAAGTACAGTTTTAAGAACTGTATGAAATTTTTATGGAAGGTAAATTTTCTCAATTCAGGCAGTTGAACCAAATGGTATTATGAACCCAGCTTATATGTCTGAATGCCCAGGGTAGAGGCTTTTGAAAGCAAATCCCTGCCGTAGGCTGTGGCGGAACTGCCTCAGGAACAGGTAATGTGCCGAGGACCGTTGGGTCAATATGTTATTGAGGAGATGAGAGGCGCAGAAGCTTGGCGAGCCTGAGACATGGCGCAAAGCTGGGGGAAAAGCCCAGGGGGACCTGCCTACCCAGGAGGGCCGTGACGTTCACTGACCGTGAAACTGACAAATGGCCAGGAAAGCAGCCGCGGCGGTGTGTATGCGCACTGACAAGCCAGCTGAGCTACGTGACCATAGGCACACATGTGCAAACTGAATTAAAGCTGTAATGCTAGCTTCCTATCGCACTCTGTAATGACATGGTATACAAACGCTAGAGGTTTGAGGATGTAAAATAGAAACAAACACTGAGATTTCCTTGCACACGTTCACACTCATGCGCTGCCATGTTTAAAGCTTGCAACACTTCTAATGTAGTGACCTTTACTGTTTTACACACTCATCCCCTCTGGCACTCAGTAGATTACATACAGCAATGCACAGACACATGCTCTTCTTACTGTCTTCTTCTGGAAAAATATGTCACATCCTTTTGAGAGCTGTAGATTGTCCGACATGACGGGCACAAATTCTGCCTCCGGTTTCACAGCCACGGCCTTGGAGGAAGTCAAGGAGGAACGAAGCGAATTCAGACGATGCTACATCAATCTGCAGAGAGAGGAACAGAATGAATTACACTACCACATGTGGTTCTCCACAGACATGAACAAGAAGCACCTCGCAGCCATTAAACTGTCTGAGAGATGACTTTGACTCACCTTAATGGATCAGGCCGTGATACTCACTAATTAAAAGCTTCAGGGATCTATTTATAGGTCAATTTATCCGACGCCATACAAGCTGTCTGCTTGTGACTCAGCTAATTTCAAGCAATGGCTCATTCTGTGTACAGTACACACACAGGACATTTCCCACTAGCTTTTGAATGCTTCATCACAGTTAAAGAATCTGTTTTAAGCAGCTATCCTTTATTCATTCATCTTAGTGCGAGATTAACATTCGTGCTCAGTTCGATTTTTCTTCCCTGTCTTCTGTCTTAACGTATGAATTACGACCCAAGATTCTTCAGTGGATTAAATGAAACTGATAATTAAGTGTTTGATGCAGCAGTTCTTTATTATTGCCCAATCTTCTGTTTTGAAGTCAACATAAAGTCTAATGAAACCTGTTTGCTTTCTTAATACATGTTTGTGGTCTTATTGAGAACAATTGATCAGTTCGCATTGTTTCAAGGAAAAACATTTCTTGTAATTCTTTGTAATTAAATTAAAATGCAATAACTTCTTAAAGTCTCAAAGATTGATCCTGTTCGGCTGACATTATCTAGGCCACAGGATTTAGCCATTTGCTGAACAGCTATTTATAGTCAAATACTGTAGCTACTCTACAGGCATTGGTAGTTTGTACAACATTGTACAAACTACTGTTGTAGATAATCCAACTATTCTAAAATTTCCCCAATAGTTGGTGACGCCATTATTAAAAATGAATGTGATAAAGATTACATGGGGAGGAATTTACACTGAATTTAATGGGATAGTTATCACCGTAATTCTTTGTAATTAAATTAAAATGCAATAACTTCTTAAAGTCTCAAAGATTGATCCTGTTCGGCTGACATTATCTAGGCCACAGGATTTAGCCATTTGCTGAACAGCTATTTATAGTCAAATACTGTAGCTACTCTACAGGCATTGTTTGGCTTGTTAAACTACTGTTGTAGATAATCCAACTATTCTAAAATTTCCCCAATAGTTATAGTTGGTGACGCCATTATTAAAAATGAATGTGATAAAGATTACAGCAGTAGGAAGTAATTAAACATTTAAAGGGATAGTTATCACCTACAATTCAATCATTTACTCACCCTTAAATTGATTAAGCACAGAAGAAGATATTTTGAAGAAATATCAGTTGGTGGTAGCCATTGACTCCCATAGTATGAAAAAGAAAATGGAAGTCAATGGCTACCACCAATTGTTTTGTTACCAGCATTCTTCAAACTATCTTCTTTTGTGCTCAGAAAGAAAGAAACTCATACAGGTTTGGAACAACTTAAGGGTGAGTAAATGATGACAGAATCTTCATTTTTGGGTGAACTATCTCTTTAAAAAAAGATGCGGTAGCAATTGGCTTTGTGGAGATACTGTAGAGAAGGCATGTATGCTTATTGTTTGGTGTTAGTGGCCTAATTTTTGTGTTTTATTTTTTATATACATTAAAATTCTGTCACTTTCTAGACTTGGAATTCTGAACATGATTGTCATAACCTTGTGGGCTGATTGCAGACATATGGTGCAGTAGCTCCTCGGGCGACCCATGTTCAAGTTCCAGCTCATGGAGAGCCAACATTGATATGGCATGGACAAGAGAATCAATGAAATTTAAGATGATTTTGAGTACAATGAAACCTATTGCACTTATGCAAATGAACTATATTATATAAGTATGTCCAACTTTATTTGCATACATAGAGTATAAGCATGTCGGGCTCTGTTCTAGTATGCACTGTAACACCCGCTTTTCATGATCCAGTCAGTTCCCGATAGATCAAATCAAAACATTTCTAGTTGAATATCTTGTTTTATTTTTAAATGCATCACATTACAAAAGTTGCAAATACTCTTTCATGCTGACTTGAAAGCTCTGTCTCTGTTCTTCTCTACATAGATTAACCATCCATGCTGAGTGTCCTATGCATCTGGAGGATTTTCCTATGGATGCCCATGCCTGCCCGCTGAAGTTCGGAAGCTGTAAGTAATTCTCTGTTGTCGTCATTTAGTTTTTCTAGATTGCGTAATTGACAGCTGCTCAGATTCTCTGGAGTATTGTATATACATGTTGCCTTGTGCGCATGTACACTGTGCTTGGCCATGAGCTTGACATCGAAATCTGTGTAACATACTGAACTGGATTAGGTGGGTGCAGGTTGAGCATCTAACTGCCTGTGACTACAGACAGACTCTTGTTTGTCTTAAAGACAAAAAATTCTTAGCAGCTTATCTTCTAGACACAGCTCAGAGAACCCAATAACACAGTGTCTTTCTCCACAACTCAGAACTCGGCACATAATGTCACACCTGACGCCTATTACCCATCTGCGTTTGTTCCTTACAATAAACAACATTTATCCAAGTCAGCATTGTCGTTAAGATACAACATAAAACCCCAAAGGCAGACCAAAAAATATGGACCTTGTTTTTCCTGTGTGGAGTCACCAGTCCTAAAACAAACAAACATGTTTCGTAATTCTTCTCCTGTGCAGAGCCTTAGATTAATAGCCCAGCCAATGACACCAAAGGTCACCATGACGCAGCAGTCACACCATTATGAATAAAACATCCCACTGGGCAATAAAACCAAAGTCCTTTGCTCATACATTTTCAGTAGTGCCTTTCCCCCCATAATATCTCTTTTTGACAGGTGCAGAATGGTGACCCCTCACTGGATCTGTGATTCATGCCGCAGAAAGACAGCAAAGAATTGGCTCTTTAGCAAGACATCGTACAATGGGCTGCATAATTAGTGGCTTTGTTAAGAACTGTTCCCTCAATCCCCCAATCAATCCACTCATTTGCTTTTATGTTGGTTTTTTTTTCTAAATTGTCTTTTTTGCTCCCGCCTTATATTGCTATTACAAAGTTGTCTGTTTGTTTGTCTCTTTAAATATTTGTCATGTTTCAAGGCACGTTTTCCCCCTTCTGTTTAAAGATCTGAGAAATAGTAGAAAAGTGCTCATTTGGGTTGATTTTGATTTAGTTTTTGCATTGCTGGAGAAATGTTATCATTAATATTAATAACAGCTTGTTTATTCCCTTTAAAGCAAGCTGAGCACATCTTCAGCTATAATAAACTTGATATGATGAATAGTTCAAAACATCTTTTTTTTTTCTTCTTCTTCTTTTTTTGTCACATACACTGTGATTTTATGGTGCTAATTAATCTGGTAACTGTCAAAATATCCACTGACTTAGGTATTACAGTTCCAGAAGTGCTCTATAAGCATAATTATTATGCATCACTCTGGAATACTAGATTCTAATTGGTCAGTCGTGGCAAACAATGTTTCTTGTGCCACTCTCATATTAGTAATTAGTATGTTTTAAACTCACATTTTTGTTACATTCATAAAAAGAATATGCTCATAAAAGTAATTTGTTCATGAATGAGACACGATTTAGTTTTGTGCGCAAACATCAATACAATAGAAAGACATGTTTTCTATTTACTTTCTTTACTCTTTTTTTTTTTTAGGCATTGCGCGATTTATTTTGCTTGTAGTTTGGTGTTCTGCCCTCACTGGCAAAAGAATGCAGACATTCAAGGACCATTAACACGAACGGCATAAAAAATCATCTTGATTCTCAACCGTATTCTATTTTTCTTATTATTATTTCTTTTCCATTATTTGGTCTGGTAAACTGGTAAAAGGATCATTTCACACCAGCAGAACGAGTGTCCGGCTTTTATATGACTGCCAGCCATGATGATTTATAATTGAGGCTAATGCATAATGGCCAACAGAGTAGAGATCTAAAGACACACAAGCTCCTCATTGCCTCATTAACCAGCTGCTCATTTTACAATAAACAACCATTTGAGGTGTGCGTGTGTTTTGTGCAGTAATATGTAAAGATTCTACTGAGACTTAGAAACTATCATTGGACTGTTAATCAAATTATAGCAAGGTCATTCACATAAAAACAGTCCTCTCCTTCTCCAATCCAATTTGAATTGCTTCTAATTCATCCTCTCATGTTCTGTTCTCTTTCTCACTCCCATCCCCGGGAGTGAGCACTAAATTTAAGACTTTTCTTGTAATGTGCTGAAAGTCTTTGACACCATTGAACTTTTCAGCCTATAGCCATTTCTTGCAGGACAGACTAAATAAGAAACGATGCCAGTCGTATAATTTAAATATTTATTTAAATATGGAATAATGCCCTTCATTATCAATTACTATTCATAATGGATGAAGTGGCATTAAACTTGATGTGTTTAGCTTTTGATTAATGACCTTCCAACAGAATAAAACAATAATGTTTCTCTGTGGCCATCAAAATTTAATTAGCAAACCTCAGCCTGCTGTGTGAATTATGTTTCTAGTGTTAAGCCTGCCAGCTTTTCTCCCGCTCACTTGCTCAGGGTCGTGTGGGCGCACATGTGTCTGTCTGTGTATGTGTGTTGTTTGTTCTGTGTACGGACCCCAAGATAATTGTTTGTCATGCTCTTTTACAAAGTTCGTCCTTGTGTATTCAAACACAATAAGTCTTGTGTTACATTTCCCCGTTATATACATTAGATTCAAGGAAGCTGCTAATCGGAGGGAGCAGATGACCCATAGTTAGTCAGCTTTTATTAAAGTTGCATTCCAGTTGCCCTCACTGAGATGCATTTATTCATTATACTGCCCACTATTTTATCATGAGCTCTGTTTTGTTCTAAACTGTGAATTTTCAGTTGGTGTTTTTCCAACCCAGCAACTATATCATTCATGGATTCTCTCAGAAGGCAAACAGACCGGTAAAATGTCTTTGCATTCAAATTGCACAGTGCATTTTGAATTGGTTATCAGTACAACTTTTAGTATGCATAATATTTTGTAAAATAGGTTGTAAAATAACTTATTTATACACTACACTTTTTAATGAGCAAAGAAGTGCTAGCCAAAACAAAATACAAATATTGGTTTGGCCACCTAATTGTTTAAACCTCTTAGCTGAGTTCTTTTATTTTTCATTTAGTTTGGACATGTCTTACAAACAAAAGTGTGTGGTAACACTTTATTTTAAGGTGTCCTTTTTACACACGTTCCTTACTATTATAATAACAATTAATTACGCATAATTACATGCAAGTGACCCTAAGCCAAAACTTATTCCTAACCCCAACCCTATGGTAAGTACATGATGTTAATTAATATTACTCAGTAAACATATAATTGCACTGTAACAAGGACACCTTAAAATAAAGTGTAACCAAATATGTTAATACATGTATACAGCATATGGATGCTAACAGCCCTTAGGAAGGTGAACAGTTAATAAACAAATAACTATAGCCTATAAAAATCACGAAAAGTCCCTGAAATACGCTAGTGATGGATCATTCACGAAGGATATATTCATTGCATATGTTACATGACAAATGAACGAAAAACTCAGGAGGTAATCATTTCTCCTCATAAATTATATTTGGCTGCATTATATTGATTTCCTAATTCGTAATATGATTAAGATTGTGTAGTAGGTGGACATGTTCCATCACTATTATTGACCTTAGTCAGGTTAGACGCCATATAGAATTTCACACAGATGAAAATGAGGCTGCGAGGGATAGACTTGCAGTCTGAATTCATGTGTGAAAACTTATCCTAGAGTGCTAATTAATGCATTTACTAACAAACATGCACTAACATGTAGTCAAGGGTGTCGTTATTCAGACATGAATGACACACATATGACTTATGTCATAGTTAAAGGTGGGGTAAGCGATTTCTGGTAGCCAATGTTGACATTTGAAACCACCAAAACAAACACGCCCTATACCCCAAAAGGGTCTCGCCCCTATTTTGATAGCTCCGCCCCACACATACGTACGCAACCCAGGCAACGATTAGTTCTGTGAAACAAAGCAAAACCAATGTTACACCGTGTCTACACCGGACGCGAGTGGTGCGACAAAATACTATGGAACTCATTATAATCAGTGATGCTGTCTACACCATAGATATATACACACGCGGCACGACACGACAAATCCCCGACAGACAACTGCTGCTGCGTTCTATTCATGACGTATTGACACAAATTTCAAATGATTTTCAACAATCGCTTTGTCGCGTCCAGTGTACTAGACAGACTTTAGCTGTTGGGGCGCAGACACGGTGTTACTCACCTATCGAGAAGAAACAAAGCAACCTCGGCGTCCGATCACAGGCCTTCCGCTCCTTGAGTTCTCTACAGCACTGGAAAGCTGATCCGATATTTACACGGGTCCTACTTCTTGCCTTAAGCCTTCTTTTGTTCCGCAGACATTTTCCTCTTTTGTTTTTTATCCGCCATCTCTATCTGTCGCTCGGCTCGGCTTATGTCCGTCCTGTGCACTGAACGCTCTCCCCTCCACATCATGAGACATGCCCCTTACTGCTGATTGGCTGCAAGTTTGTTTTGCTAGTCGGCCCGAATCAGTTTTATAAAGCGTTTTTGAAAAATCGCTTAACCCACCTTTAAGCCATTATTCACTGACAATTGCATGAGAGTTAGTAAACAATGGTATATTTAAAAAAGAAAAATTGAGAACTATTCCAAATAACCTGGTCATGTATCTGAATACAAAAATAAAAACAACATGTTACATACTTATGATAATCTGATGGACGTTAATTTTTTCCGTCCATTTGCAGGAACATCTGCCTCTCCCATGGATCGTATCACATACATCCCAGGAACCTCTCCAGCTTTTCCCAGCGGAGCCTACAACACATCTCCCATCTCACCAGGTACAAAGCAACACGCTCACTCAAACAAACAACATGGTGATTTAAAACAAATTTTCTTTATAAGTGTCATTCACTTTATACCTCTATCTCTCAACAGTGGGAGCCTCTCAGTTTTGTAAAAATCGACGCGTTTCAAAAAGGCGGGGCATAGAGGAGAAACAATAATGTACAGTATGTGGAAAATAATGTGTTTTTTTAACTTTAAACCGCATAAACACATTTCATTACACCAAATACACAAAATAATGTTCTTTTTAGCAGCATCATATGACCCCTTTAAGGTTAGTTCTTGATTAGTACATGCCTTAACTTATCATTAGTACATATTAAAGTAATTTTTAATGTAGGTATTAGTCCATGATTATTCATTGTAAATGGTTGCTAAAACTATTTAGTCAAAAGTATTCGTTTTTATAAAGACTGCATTAAGAATACTCACATGAAATTAAATCTAAATATAAAGTTGCAAAAGGCAAACCTAATATTTAGTGCTAGTTGAACTAACCAGTCTGTCTAGAAGTATTGTTTTATGTGCACTACTGTCACCACACTTCAGCATGTAGATATGGAAAAAAAAACGCCCATGCAGTAAATGGTAAAAGTGAACAGCATTGTAATTGTTTATAAAAGTTTGGTCAGAATAAACCAGTACTGCTGTGGTTTGTCTTTCTAAGATGCCTACACCAACAATGAGGTTATCTATATCTGGACAGCAGATGATGAGAAATCTGTTTCTGTGGCTCCTGATGGCTCTAGACTCAACCAGTATGACCTGTTGGGCCATGTCATTGGCAAAGAGACCATCAGCTCCAGTACAGGTAAGTACTTTTATATAGTGAAGTTAAAGCAGATCAAAAGTGCTGGTTATGATCTAGGCAAATGGTAGCGAATGAAGAAGTGAAAATATAACATTGTTTTACATTTTTTAATCATTGCATAATTCCCATTGCATTTCTGTTATGTATAGTTTTAATGCATTATTTACTATTATTCTGCAATGTGGAAAATCCATGTATATCACATTATCTTTATTGTCAATGACAATAAAGAGTGCATAATCAGTTACTAAAACCAGCATTTTCAGAGCTGTTTCTATGACATGTTGGACCAGGCAAAAGTGAAACAAGCAAGCAGACTGAGTTTCAATGACGATGCAGTTCTGATATTGTGATGAATTGATATATTGATTGCATTTATACTGAGTCACAGCATCACAGTACATATCATGGTAATTGTGAAAACCCAGCTTATTTTCCATTTTATACAACAACAAATCCCGTGTATTTACACTGAATGCTGCAGTCTGCCTTTTAAAAAGTATCCTTGAAATATATAAAAAACATCTGCCTTCCTTTGTTTATCGTTATTTGAGGCATAGTTACAGATTCATGCTGGATAATGAAAACCTCTCTTGCTCTTTAACACAGTTTATTTATATGCATGAGTCTGTAATACTCTTCTGTACATAACCTTCTCTTTATGAAATCTCTCTTTTGACAACCTGGATTAATTAATTTTCCTTGCTTCCCACATGCTTTTCTCCTTTCTTCCAGCTTCAACATACGCTTACAAATTCCATTTTGTCTATTTGTAAAGCAATTTATCTAACCTGCTTTGCAAGCACCTAGCTTATCGATTGCTTCTGTCACAGTTATTAGGGTCATACAGCCTCTGTGAAGCAGGAAGGACTCAAACAAGTATGAGTGCCCAAGAAAAGTGTGGGTGTGCTCAATAAGACGATGTGCACATGTCAAAATGAGAGATGAAATTGACCTCAAGTCTACATTATTTGTGGTGCACTTCTTCTACAGCCATTGAAAGAGAAATTGGTCATAAATGAGTATGCTTTAATCCAAAGGTATTATATAGTTTATAGAAGTCCAGATTCCAAATTTCCCTCCCAGCAAAAGTCTGGGTCCCACTTTATATTAGGTGGACGTAACTACTATGCACTTACATCAGAAATAAGTACAATGTATTTTTTGTGTTCATGTTGTTTTTCAAAACACTTTTTCTGCTATTGAGGTGGGATACGGGTAAGGTTAGGGACAGGTTTAGTGGTATGGGTAGGTTTAAGGATAGGTTAAGGTATAAGGGATGGGTCAACAATGTAATTATAAATGTAATTACAGAAATGAATTACATATGTAATAACATGCAGGTATTTTTAATACTGTATAAGTACAATGTAAAAACATGTATGTACACAATAAGTTCATTGTATCAACTGATTAATTTAAATGTAAGTACATAGTAGTTAAAGCCACCTAATATAAAGTGGGACCAAAGTCTGAATCAAGAGCTAATTCTTGCTCATGTGTGTTCATTTCTAGGAATATGTGAATAATTGTTGCATGACTGAGACAGGGAAAAGTATAAAATGCTTTTATACATGAGAAAGAACTATATAATGTAACTAACAGAATGAAATGCACATGATTTATGTTTTTCTTCTTCTTTTCTTTTCTTTTCTTTTAAACGGCTGCTTTTTGCCATCCTCGTGATGTAGTTCCTGCATCTGTTGCCTCTTGGCCCTCACAAATCACAAGCAGAGGTTAATCAACATTTAATCAACATTTCAACTCCATGAAAGGACTGGGGGCTTGAGCTCCAGTGAAATAACACTGCTCCATACGACGTATAAAAATAGCAAAAATGAAAAATAAGAAATTTAGCCAGAAACTGACTAAAACTGACTAAATGAATGAATATGAGTGTAAAGTACATTATCATCGAAAGACAAAACCTACGAATAAAACAAAAATATTGAAATAAAAATTAACATTGGCAGACTGGCAGCTACAGTGGGTTGTTAAAGTAAGAAGTAATGAATCATAAATTGACAAAACATTCATTCCAAGACTGCTGCTTTCTTCAGTAAAGATAGAAATACTAATGTAGCATTAAAGTTGAGCAGAAAAGATGACTTACATTTGTAATAACAGTCAGCCCACATCCTGTTATATATATATATATATATATATATATATATATATATTAACTTAGGGTTAGGGTTATTTACAGGGCTATTTATAGGACTATTTTATAGGGCTTTTTTGTGATTGCAGTTGAGATTGTTGTATAATAAATATATAATGTATTTAAAGACCTTGTTGCATCAGATGCAGCTTCTATGGCATCTTAGTTGTGTAAAGACTTCTTAAAAATAGAGCAACAATTCTATCTATGAATATATTTGAGCTGTCCATTTAATTTAGTGTTTAATTATATATATTAAAAAATAATGCATTTGATCATGCTTCCTCATTCGTACATACAAATTCCTTAATAAGGATTTTCCTTTCTTCGGAGCAATTCAAGCTTGAAATACCACCTAATTGCAATCCCCACAGAATGCATTCTTGCATTCAAAGACAGCTGGATGGAGTGCAGCAGAGTGGATCGGAACACAGGGTTCTCAAGAATTTGAGAATCTGACACGTTTTATGGGGACATTCCATAGGCGTATGGTTTTTATTCTGTACAAACTGTATTTTCTATCCCCTTACCCTAAACCTACCCCTCACACAAAACTACAGGCATTTTTAGACTTTTAAAATGTTCTGTTTGATTTACAGTACAAGCCATTTTCCTCATGAGGATCTTAAATAAATAAATTAATTAATTCCCCACAAGATCAAAACTTGTGATTACTATCCCTGTGGGGACATTTGGTCCACGTAATGTAAGGAATGCGAGGACCCCACACACAAATTGGTGTGTCACTATTAAGACGCGTTTAAAAAAGCTCTGGTTGTTTGTCAGTGCTGGAGAAAGGGTTTGTATTAACTTGCTTCCAGATGAGACACCTATTTTACTGTCCCCCTCAGCTGAAATGGAAAAGACAAATTCCAGTGTTTGTTTTTAAAGCACCAGAAGCATCTGTTTATTTTTCATTTTGTCATTTTAATTGTCCTCCGCTCTGCCTTCCAGTGCAGGGAGAGAATGCTAACTCAGTCGAAAATTGCTTTTCCTACAGAGATTAGAATTTCAACCTCAGGTCTTGTTCAAGGAATATTTTATACACCTAAAAATGAAAATTCTGTCATTAAAAGAATCTACTTTACAGAATGCCAGGGGTTTTCTTTTCTAGAATGAGGACTGATACTGAACAAATACAGTCCATATGCTATATTACAAATCTTCTGAAGTCATACTATATCTTGCCCACTGTTCACTTTTGCACATTGCCAAATTTGTTTCTGAAGTGGCTTGTAACTGAAAGCAACAACTTTGAATATGTTTGTTTTTGCTTTGGTATTATTTTCACAAGCACAGTTTCAAAATTCTTCTTCTGCCAGTCTTTCAAAACCAGATCTTGTGTTTTCATTCCAGCTGGACATGTGATTTTAAACAATGATTATGTGGGGGGAAAAATAAGATCGTTGTAATATGCAATGGAAGCATTTAGTATAATCAGCAGAACACAACAATATGATCTTCTTTCAATTCAATCCATGTAACAGTCAGTTCATTTATAGCAAACAATACAAAGATACATTTCAAATCAGGTTTGTTGCTGAATTAAAGATGTAACAGTAATACAGGCTACAACTGTCACATTATAAACTGCACTTATATTACCTAACTTACATTATTGACAAATTCCAGAATATTTCTATACAATGCAATGTGCTCTTAAAAGGTTTAATAAAGTCACACTTTATTTTAAGGTCCAATTCTCACTATTAACAAACTATTCACTATGACCTTTGCCTCAATAAACTACTAATTTGCTTTTATTAATAGTTAGCAAGGTAGTTGTTAAGTGTAGGATAAAAATCTAAATCGCTTATTGATAAAATTATAAAAATGCATTGATACGAATATCTTAATGATGTAAAAGATACGTAAATATTTGTACGTGTTTTAGCTAAAAATACGTAGCGATTTGTACTTTTTAAACGTTGAAATACGTCTAAATTGTACGTTTTAGCATTAATAAAAACGTACAAAAATTTACGTTTTGTGCTTGTAAATGTTACGTATTAATACCTATGTATAAACATGAGACCAGGCTGAATATGGTCATGCAGAATATGTGCTTTATAATACTAACAAACAACCAATATGTTATTAATAGGCATGCTAATAAGCAACTAGTTGATAGTGAGAATTGGTCCCTATACTAAACTGTTATCGACATGGCCATGGGGCTTTGTGCTAGAACAGAATTTGCTGCGAAAACAGGAAATGTTCTTATTGTACCATATGACTGAATCTATGCTGTACCAAAGAAGAAATGGAGAGAAAATGTAGACTTTTGCATGAGTCTCCTACTTCTCCTGATATATGATAGACCAGCCACTGAATAATCAGATTTCCTTAGATTTTTATGGAAATGTACAAAATTTCGAACCAAAATTAAATGACTTTAGCAGTGCAACTTGGTCATCTGACATAATTGCAGCCCCTCATGCTCTGTCAGACCTTCAGAGAGAACAAAATGGCAGGGCTTTCAGATTGAGCAATTGTCTATCACTTCCTTCCCACTGTTAAGGTTAGAACGAACATCCAATCTGTCCCAGCCATGCTGGGAAAACACTTGAATCCTCCGTCGTTGGTGCTGTGATCTACAAGAAGCAATCAGTTAAACCTCCTCTCGAACACAAGACCCCCACCTCCTATATCTCAGTTGCTCTTCCTGCATGATCATCCATAAATAAAATTCTGAATATTTTAGTCTATGTGTTGTCTCATCAATAATTCATCCTTCTTATGGTCTCTCTCTTCTCTTTTCTCATTTCTTATATAGGAGAATATGTGGTGATGACAACATATTTCCATTTGAAAAGGAAAATTGGCTATTTCGTGATCCAGACGTATCTCCCCTGCATAATGACCGTCATTCTGTCTCAGGTCTCCTTTTGGTTGAACCGGGAGTCCGTTCCAGCACGTACCGTCTTCGGTGAGCTTTTCTTCCGTTTGTTTACTAATGCACAGATGTGCTCTGCGAGTAATCCGGCAAATAATACGTGCAGCGTAGAGCTGCTGTTTACATTATGAGACTACATCAAAACATGCTGTGCCTTATATTTGTAGAGATGCTTTTGTTTTTATCTGCCATTATGAAACAACAGGAAGCATTCAGTAAACAAGAACACCAGGGATTATTTGAAAAGTTAGTTTTCTGTGTAAAAGTTTTTCAGAGAAGTCCTAAACCTGGATAGTGATGGATTCTGTTTTGAAAAGGTGTAATTACCACAGCCACCACACAAGCACCTAATTAATTGCAGATTAGATGGACCGAAACCTGGAGTCAAATTAAGTAAAAAAAATAAAATAAAAAAGTAATGCTGACAGGACATAAAAGGAAAAGATAAACACAAGAGCATTGCAGCTGTATCTCCTTCAGCAGCCTATTTGCACAGGTCTTTAAGCCAGCTGAAGTTAAGAGATTATAGCTTATTGAGCGCACATCAACTTTGGCATGGTGTCTGACTTCATCTGCGGTTTGCTTTTTATCGAGGGCCGGAGCATCAGGTGCAAAGCAGGGCTCATTCTGCCAGCATTACTGTGGAGGATGTTACTGATGAGAAAGTTTCTGCAATCAGCTACAGAATAAATGAATTTCTGACACTTCTCACAAACCGTTCTTGATAGAGTGCAGCAGCATTTCATGCACCACTGTTCTGAATATTACGCAGAACCACAGCAAAAGATATCGTATTTTAAATCACATTATTTTACAGATTGCAATCTGAATATGATTCAAAGATGTTTTCGTTTTTTTTTTTCCTGATTCACTCAAGCCGCACACTGCACGATTTTCACATTACACAACTTTTCAATAAGAAGAATCGCTGACATCTCTGCCTTGTCTACAAACTATGTTTCACAATGTAACACACGTGAGAACTCATACAGGAAATAATGTTAGATTACGCGAGAGACAGACTTTCTCACACACGATTTGCCTCTGGTTTTGGGCATTTGCTGGCGATTTCCACAAAACAAAATTCAAAATTAGGGCTAAATTGTGCAGTGTTAATCCAACATACTGAAACAAGAGTTATCATATTGTAACATGACTGTTTCGGAAATAAGTGAGAGCTGGACATACTGTATATGCAGTAGACACATTTATTTAAACAAACACAACAAAAATAAATCCAGGTTGAAAAGAGGATATTCTAGATGCAGGAAAACTAGAACTAAAACATGCACACATACAGTGGTGTGAAAAAGTGTTGGCCCCCTTCCTGATTTATTTTTTTGCATGTTTGTCACACTTTAATGTTTCAGATCATCAAACAAATTTAAATATTAGTCAAAGATAACACAAGTAAACACAACATGCAGTTTTTAAATGAAGGTTTTTATTATTAAGGGAAAACAGAATCCAAAACTACATGGCCCTGTGTGAAGAAGTGTTTGCCCCCCTGTTAAAACTGTGGTTTATCACACCTGAGTTCAATTTCTCTAGCCACACCCAGGCCTGATTACTGCCACACCTGTTCGCAATCAAGAAATCTCTTAAATAGGACCTGCCTGACAAAGTGAAGTAGACCAAAAGATCCTCAAAAGCTAGACTTGCCGAGATCCAAAGAAATTCAGAAACAAATGAGAAAGATGTTACCTGAGATATAGAATGAAAAAGAGAAAATGTAGCTTTAACACATGAGAAGTATAGAGAGAGATGCCATGAGGGACATGAGTCTAGCTCAGTGACCTTCAACCCAGGCCGAGCTCAGTTAGAGAGGAAGAGGACAATCCAAGAGTAGAGCCCAGAGATGAAAGAGAGAGAGCACACAGGTTACATTCTTCATTTATCCTTGACCATGTGACTTAAACCAAATCTGAGATATTCAAACCGACCAATCAGCAGACAACAGCTGCCCCCACTGTACAAGAGGTGTGACAATTAGTAGGTCTCAGCCAGCATCTCTTAGTTTTCTTGCTTTCTTCTTACTTTCTGAACTTCCTCGAATTTGAAGTGAACTCATACTTCAATGCTTTAAAAAAAAAATTGCAACTCACCATTGACAATTGTGCTGCAACTCTTGCTGCCACAGGAGCAGTAGGCTGGGGCTGGGGGTCCGGCTGACTCTGCTCCATGGCCTTCTTTGCTGTTCCAGCAGCAGCAGCAGGTTGTTCCACCACCCTTTGTGCTGGTCCAGTAGGGCTGGCAGTTGGCTGTTTAAGACAGCCCAAAAAAAATACATGTAACAATTCAGAAAGAAAACCATTTCAGTAAATAATACTAACAAAAAATACTTGCTACATTAATGTTACCTTTGGAGTGTGAAAACCACAGATGCATTTCAGCACACCTCCAAGCAAGTTTGTCTGGCCACGAGACAGCATCGGACATTTCTCAATCTGTAAGCATAATAACAAATGTAATGCACAATACAAGTGAGTCCCTTAACAGAGCATACAATACTTCATTAAATTCATATATTAATTAATTCATTGATTAATTTCTAGGACACGAGTCACTATTTATCTTATATACAGTGGTGTGAAAAAGTGTTGGCCCCCTTCCTGATTTCTTATTTTTTTTGCATGTTTGTCACACTTTAATGTTTCAGATCATCAAACAAATTTAAATATTAGTAAAAGATAACACAAGTGAACACAACATGCAGTTTTTAAATGAAGGTTTTTATTATTAAGGGAAAACAAAATCCAAAACTACATGGCCCTGTGTGAAGAAGTGTTTGCCCCCCTGTTAAAACTGTGGTTTATCACACCTGAGTTCAATTTCTCTAGCCACACCCAGGCCTGATTACTGCCACACCTGTTCGCAATCAAGAAATCTCTTAAATAGGACCTGCCTGACAAAGTGAAGTAGACCAAAAGATCCTCAAAAGCTAGACATCATGCCGAGATCCAAAGAAATTCAGAAACAAATGAGAAAGAAAGTAATTGAGATCTATCAGTCTGGAAAAGGTTATAAAGCCATTTCTAAAGCTTTGGGACTCCAGCGAACCACAGTGAGAGCCATTATTCACAAATGGCAAAAACATGGAACAGTGGAGAACCTTCCCAGGAGTGGCCGGCCGACCAAAATTACCCCAAGAGCACAGCGACGACTCATCCAAGAGGTCACAAAAGACCCCACAACAACATCCAAAGAACTGCAGGCCTCACTTGCCTCAGTTAAGGTCAGTGTTCATGACTCCACCATAAGAAAGAGACTGGGCAAAAATGGTCTGCATGGCAGAGTTCCAAGACGAAAACCGCTGCTGAGCAAAAAGAACAAAGGCTCGTCTCAGTTTTGCCAGAAAACATCTTGATGATCCCCAAGACTTTTGGGAAAATACTCTGTGGACTGACGAGACAAAAGTTGAACTTTTTGGAAGGTGTGTGTCCCATTACGTCTGGCGTAAAAGTAACACTGCATTTCAGAAAAAGAACATCATACCAACAGTAAAATATGGTGGTGGTAGTGTGATGGTCTGGGGGTTTGCTTTTTGTTTTGCTGCTTCAGGACCTGGAAGACTTGCTGTGATAAATGGAACCATGAATTCTGCTGTTTACCAAAAAGTCCTGAAGGAGAATGTCCGGCCATCTGTTCGTGACCTCAGGCTGAAGCGAACTTGGGTTCTGCAGCAGGACAAGAACACACCAGCAAGTCCACCTCTGAATGGCTGAAGAAAAGCAAAATGAAGACTTTGGAGTGGCCTAGTCAAAGTCCTGACCTGAATCCTATTGAGATGCTGTGGCATGACCTTAAAAAGGCGGTTCATGACCTTTTAAAGGCGGTTCATGAATTACAACAATTCTGCATAGATGAGTGGACCAAAATTCCTCCACAGCGCTGTAACAGACTCATTGCAAGTTATCGCAAACGCTTGATTGCAGTTGTTGCTGCTAAGGGTGGCCCAACCAGTTATTAGGTTTAGGGGGCAAACACTTTTTCACACAGGGCCATGTAGTTTTGGATTTTGTTTTCCCTTAATAATAAAAACCTTCATTTAAAAACTGCATGTTGTGTTCACTTGTGTTATCTTTTACTAATATTTAAATTTGTTTGATGATCTGAAACATTAAAGTGTGACAAACATGCAAAAAAAATAAGAAATCAGGAAGGGGGCCAACACTTTTTCACACCACTGTAGCATCTATTCATGACAACATGAGAAAAAGAACATAGGAATCACTGGGATTTAAATCCACAATATATTACGGGATGAAACAAGGAACAGGTGAAAGTGATAAGTTGCTTTGGAGGGCAACTATGGCAACACACTATGGACTAATCATAAGGCAATCATAAGTAAAATCATGAGAACAGGAACTATATATCAAAATTCTACTGTTTCCAGTTAGGAACCACCCACGTGAAATGACAGAATTAAATTATAAAGTATTATTATATGTAAAGAAGACAGTCCCATGAGAAGGCCAGTTGCTGTCTATAAGTTGTCATTTCTATTAAGATGTCAGCTTAGAAGGCAGCTTCATATGCAAGCGGTGTTAAGCAAGTCATTGTTACGAACACAGGTTTGAGTGCTGTAGTAAACCTGGTTCCTAAACTTGGATCTTCACTTAAAACTACGGCAGTAACTGTAACACAACCCCCAGATGAGATGACTGACTGAAACCCGTATAGAAACATGCCAGTTAACTCTTCTGTCTTGAGGCACCACATCATCTGTGCCACAGCCGTGCCAGCAATCCTCCGATTTCTCTTCATAAGGAAACCAGTTCATAAGAGCCTGTGCTTATGTTTGTATTTGTATGATGAGGAGCTATCGTGTTTCAGTGACCATCATCAGAGTGGATATTTTGCTCCTCAAAGTGGAACATGATGTTTTAGGATGTATGTGCTTGTATGTTCTTGTTTATTATGAACAAGGACACTCATAACCGTTTGCAGCTGATGCTCTTAATGTTGAACTGCTTGCAAGCTCGCCAGGACAACACAAGGAGAAGTCAAAAATTCCAAATACCAATAAT